AGGAGGCTCTTTGTGATTCTGCTGGCATAGGGCAGAAACTAGGCCTGTGCTTGGGGAAGCCCAGGGAAACTTGGAATGAGTTTAGGAAGCCCAGGTAGCCATTCCCCTGAGGGGCAACACACTTTATATTGGGAGGTGTCTGAGGCAGAGTTAGAGGCACCACTCCACCCACAGGACATCTGAGCGCTGCCTCTTCCTGGAGAGAGGGTACATACGGCCAGTTCCACGCCATGCTCTGCGGTGGGAGTAACAATTGGGGGTTCAGGTGTTGGTTATCCCACCCTTTCCATACCTTACCAGGGGAGGTTATAGCAGATAGGGATCCCTGATCTAACAAGGGCTGGCTTCTCACCAGAAGATCTTCCTGCTTTGTAGAAAAGGCCAGTATCATGATCTCCTTTTGTAGATGGGGAAACTGAGGTACAGAGGTGGTGTGACTTACTCCAGGTCCCCAGTCAGAGCTAAGAATAGAACCCAAGTCTCCTGGGTCAGTGCTCTAGCCGCCTTCATTGACATGGTGCGACTGAATGAACAGGACGAGCGATGAGTGTGGAACTCTCACACTTACTATGTCATAGCTTAAATTCAGACTTGGATTACTTAATGATGATTAATGATTGCTTGCAGGAGAGTAGCCAATTGCAATACAATTTTGCATTGTATTAAACACCTCATTTTGCATTTCTAAGACCCAGTCAGGAGCCAGATATTCAGGAACCCTGTTCAAAGGAGTTCTTGCTAAAACTTGTTCCAAATCTCAGTGCTCGTTGGGTCTGAGCCTGTTAAGAAACCACAGTGCAGCCTAGATTCAAGGTAGGATTTGGAAGCGTCAGTGCCTTTCTTGGACAAGCAGGTACTTGTGTACAGGGGACATTGGTTATGATGTGATTGTCCCACTGACTCCCCTCCCCCCCCTAAAAATGATTAAAAGTCAACTTGGTTTCACTGGTCAGGGACTTGGGAGACCAGCGTTTTATTTCTGGCTCTGCCACTGGGTGACGTTGGGCAAGTCACTTTGCCTTTCTGTGCCTCAGTTTCCCCCTCTGTAAAATGGGGATAATGATGCCGACCTCCTTTGTAAAGTGCTTTGAGAGCTGCTGATGAAAAGCGGTAGATAGGAACTAGGGATTGTTATTAATCTATTGCCATGCAGATGCAACTAAGGCGTGTGCTCCAGCAACCCAGACCTGATTCAGGTGTGACTAGTAGCTGTTGGAAGTTGTCTTCCATTGTAAGAGCCAGGGGTGTGCTCCTGCAGTGACACAGCTGGCACTCTCTGCCGGGATGCCAAGAAGGGATCCAGGCACTCTTCATTCCAATGGCGGCTCTCCCCAAAGGGCAATAATGATAGTACCTTGGTGTGTCCCCAGCTCTCTTGGGGAATCTCATTATGGATGGAGCCTCACAATCCTGCAAAGCAGTGGGCAGTAACATTAGCCCCATTTTCCAGGTAGGGAAAGTGAGGCACAGGGGGGAAGTGACTTGCTCAAGGTCACCCAGCAAGTCAGTGGCAGGGCTGGGAATAGAACCCAGGACTCCTCCATCTCCTCTAACCACTAGGCCACAGACCTTCTAGAGCTGGGAGCGGATTCCAGATCGCCTGGCTCCCATCCTTTTGCTTTGACCACTCGACCATTCTTCAAGCAAGGGGCAGGGACGCAGATAAGGTTGCAGTGAAGGGGCAGGGGCCTGGGAAAGGAGATATGCCCCGCTGCTCAATCTCCAGGGCTGGAAGGCTGGAGTCTCTCACCAACATGAAACATCTTGTGCACAAACATCTCCTTGAGCGGCCCTGTTTGCATTTGAGGTGTCTGGCAATCCTGCTCACACCTGCACCCCCTCCAACCCCCGCTTCCTTCCCTGTTCAGCATCTGGGGAGTGTGGTTCCAGCTCTGACCTCAACCAAATCCACCAACCCCCTCGCTGCTGCTGGGGGTAGGGGGCTCCTAGGAGCCGGGAGGAACTAACACCCCGGGACGAAGCGAGCTGCATAAGGAGGCAGAATCTGGGCTAGAGTAACCCTGAAGGCCTTTTGCCCCTTCTCTGGCACCTTGGGATCTCAAAGCACTTGGTGAACATTGATCCACCAGCCCTGGAGGGACAGGCCTGCGTTATCTCTGCTTTACAGAATGAGAAGCTGGGGCTGCAGCCACAAGACCCCACTCCCTTCCTGGAGCCAGGAATAGAACCCAGGAGTCCTGGCTCCAGTGCCCCTCTCCTAGCCACTAACCTGCACTTTCCCCCAGGGCTAAATCCACTGTATAAATAAAGCTCCTGAAAGAGGTTTAAGCTGCTTCCCCCAGCTGTGAGGTCTGGGAGCTGGGTTAGCAGGGCAGACAGCATGGGGGTCCCTCCTTTCGGTTGCTTCCAGCGTTCAGAACAGCCTTGAACTGGCCCCTGCGGAATCCCCATTGTTCCCTGCAGACAATTGGGGGCTGATGGGGGTCCCCCAGCCCAGGATAATCCCCATTCCCTTTGGAGGTCTACAGTTCTCTGGGCAGCCCATTGCCGGAGGCCTCTTACTTCAGAGCCGGCTTCGGAGATCACTTGGAATCCGCATCCCCACTGGAACCTGGAGGTTCCTCCCACACGTGAAGAGTTAGCACAGGAAAGATGGGACCTGGCTGAATGCCCCACAGGCTTGGCACAGGTGGGGAATTGTCTGTGCTAAATGATGGAGCATCAAGAAATAACTGAGCGTGGGGGCCAGTGGTTAGAGCAGGGCTGGGAGCCAGGACTCCTGGGTTCTATCCCCAACTCCTGCCACTTTGCTCAATTTGCTTCTAATCTCTGGTCTTGAGTTTCCTCCTCTGCTCCCCAGAGAACTGGGCTGGGAATCATCAAATACATTGCAGCCAGGCCCCCAGAGAAGTATCAGAGGGGAGGGGATTGGAATTTCAGCTCCTGCTGCAAAGGGCTCCATCCCCATCACCCCTCCCGCCTGCCCCATCTGATTAGAAACGAGGCCTGGGCTTAGCAGAGCCCATTATCCGCAGGGAAGGGGGCTGACATGGCTCCAACCGATCAAAGACCAGGCCAGGTCCAGCAGGAGCAGATGAAAACCTCCTTCCTTCCCAGTGCTGGGCTGTTAGCACGTGCAAGTGACAAAGGCTGGCAGGGGTGAAGGATTCATCGCATTGAGACCCAGTGTTTTTAGTCTCCCTTCATTCTGCCCCCTTCTAATCCCTCTGTCCCACTCCCAGGGAAGATGCTTTGATCTATCTCCCTCCATCCCCCCGGCTCACTACGCCTCCCCCCATGACCTCCAGCAGCCAGAATCATCTCCCCCATGCCCGTGAAACGAAAACACTCCATCACCAGTCGCCTGGATGAGAGTTAATCAGGTTAAGGAGCTGAGCTGGGCCTTGGAGTGAGAACAGGCCAGTTTAGCACATGGGCGGGGGAGCCAGCACCAGGAAATGCACAAGCCACATCTACACTGCAGCCGTCTGGTGCACAGCTCTGGCCAGCGGGGGCACGAAGAGGTGTGAGCCCTGTCCAACAGCCAGCAGAAGAGCCTAGCGTAGCTGGTTTTGCTCGTAAGCCAGCCCCATACACAGCACAGCTCTGCCAGCGCCCACGCCCGCCGGCTCTCCTGGCGTAGCATACCGGGACAGCGCTCATCGACATGGAAAAGTTAAATCAACAGGTGTGAAAATCCCACCCGCCCGCAAAGCGCCAGGGGCGTGTGGGCCAGAACTCCCAGCGCAGACAGCGATATGTCAATGGCAAAACGTTGCCATCGCTTGGGGTGTAGACACAGCCTTCGTGTGGACCAGGCCTCAGTAGCGCCGAATCCGTGTCCCAAGGTTTGAGCGCCGGCATTCACACGGGAGCAGTCATCGTTTAAGGCTGAAGGGGCTATTGCGATCATCCAGCCCAGGCTCCTGCAGAACACAAACCGGAGACCCCCCCACCCCTCTGCAGGCTAGAGAATCCCCCTCAGTAGCCCAGAGCGCATGGCCGAGGTAGAGCACGGCCTTACCAAAAGACGCCCCCCGGAGAAGACTCTACTGTACCCTTAATTACCCCGGTGAGGGCCCCAGCAGGTAGGACGGCCCAGTGGTTAGGGCAGTAACCTGGGAATTGGGATCCCTGGGATCCATTCCCAGCTCTGCTACAGCACTCCTTGGGTGACCTGGGCCAAGTCACTTAGGCCCAGCTCCTCCAAGGCATTCGGCACCCACTGAGTTCCCTGGGAGTTCGGTGCCTAACTGCTCTGAGGGTCTGGATCTCGGCCCCTCTGCACCGCAGGCCCCCTGCTTCTGAAGTAGGGCATTAGCCCCACCCTGCCTGACAGAGACAGCATGTGAGGTGCTCACACATCATGGTGATGGGGCCAGATGAGGACATGAGATAGAGCCATACAGGGATCACGAACGCAGATTCCCCCGCAGGGTGGAAGTCCTGCAGGGACCAGATTTCACACAACGCAGTTTTTTTCACAACACACAGTTAACCTGTGCAACTCCTTGCCAGAGGATGCTGTGAAGGCCAAGACTATAACAGGGTTCAAAAAAGAACTAGATAAGTTCACAGAGGATAGGCCCATCAATGGCTATTAGCCAGGATGGATAGGGATGATATCCCTCGCCTCTGTTTGCCAGAAGCTGGGAATGGGCGATGGGATGGATGACTTGATGATTCCCTGTTCTGTACATTCCCTCTGGGGCACCTGGCATTAGCCACTGTCGGAAGACAGGATACTGGGCTGGATGGACCTTTGGTCTGACCCAGTCTGGCCGTTCTTATGTTCAGATCCACCACAGACCCCCTGCTAGCCAAGCCAAGGGGAACCTCCCCCACGCTGTCCTGAGCACAGAAGGCTCTGGGGGTGGTTAGCTCACAAGGACCATGCGGCTCCTGTATCCAAGTCCCCAGGGCAGGGGCCTTCAGCTATCCTAATTTTACAGTCCCCAAGGAGGTGGAACAGAGGAGTTACAGGAGAGGACGTTCCCCCCAGTACATTTTATTAAAGCACCGGAGGACGGTCAGGGCAGGAAGACACCCCGGCAGCTTGTCCCTTTCCCCGAGGCGTTTTCAGAGACCAATCTGCATGGCTGGAGTCAGTCAAGGGAGCTGGTAAGAGAACATGAGATTCAGCAGCTCAGCTCAACAGGCCCAAGCTGCTCCCCTTCCACTCACAGCAAATGAGTTTAGCCCCAGTTGCGTAATTCACACAGGCAGGTTTTCCTAGGTGCTGCCACAAACTCCACCAGGGCTCCCAGGCTTGGGAGGAGAGGGTCCACAGCCAGCAATTCACCAGCCAACAAAAGCCTTGAGACTGTTCTCGCTAACTCTTCCGTGGCTGCACCAGCTCCTGCCTGAGGCAACACCCTTCCCGACTCTGCAGTGGGAGACCTGTGGACAGCAGAGGGAGCACAGGCCTCAGTCACTTTCCTGCCGTAGGGAAGGGACAGAGAATCCCTCGCCTGGGGCCTGGCTGAGAACCACCGAGTTGCCCTGCCCCGTCAGCCTCAGCATCCTCCCAGGTGACAAGACGGGAGCCCTTTCTGGCACGAGGCAGGTTAACCACGTAGGCTTAAGCCAGCCCCCAGCCCCAGCTACAAGGCATGGAACAGGCCATGGGGGAATATGAACCGTGGGAGACAGAGGAGGAAGAACAAGTCCAAGGAAGTAGCTACAAAAGCGCTTGTGTTCAGGGACACACAGCGGCCCCCGTCCCTCCATTCCGACACAGGGCTCCAAGCTGAGCAGCTCAGGTTACAGGGGAGACTTGCTGGACTGGCCCTTCTTCTTGGCTCCCTTCTCCGGTGCTTTGACCACGGTCAGCTTCTTGGCCATGCTGGTGCTGGCTTTCATCATCACCTCGTGTTCAATCTTCTTCCGGATGCCGACTTCCAAGGTCTGGGGAGGAAGGAGCCGTGAGGCAAATTAACCCAGCAGCAGCCATCTAAGCAGGGGCCTCCTGGGGAGGAGCTGGGGGCCCTCTAGTCCCTGCCCATCCCCCACCTCCCTTCACCACTTTACCAACGAGTGCAACGGAACTGGTCTCTGCCTGAGCAGGTGACACCCCTTTGGAAATCACAGCACTGGAAGGGACCTCGAGAGGTCGTCTAGTCCACTCCCCGGCACTCCTGACAGGAGCGAGTATTATCTAGACCATCCCTGACAGGTGTTTATCTAACCTGTTCTTAAAAATCTCCAGTGATGGAGATTCCACAACCATGGTCTGCACACAGAGAGCAGAACTCCAATTGTGTTCCCACACAGGGTTCCAGGCTAACATTACCCATGTCCATGTCTAGCATGGTTCCAGTCATGTTTTTGTTAGGGCTGTCAAGCGATTAAAACAATCCATCATCAGCACAGAAGCATGTCCTTTGGAATGGTGGCCGAGGCATACGAATGTTTAGCATATCTGGTATTTAATACCTTGCAATGCCGGCTACAAAAGTGCCATGCGAACGCCTGTTCTCACTTTCAGGTGACATTGTAAAGAAGAAGCCGGCAGCATTATCTCCCGTAAATGTAAACAAACTTGTTTGTCTGAGCAATTGGCTGAACAAGAAGTAGGACCGAGTGGACTTGTAGGCCCTAAAGTTTTACATTGTTGTGTTATTGAGTGCAGTTATATAACAAAAATCGACATTTGTAAGTTGCACTTTCACGCTAAAGAGATTGCACTACAGTACTTGTATGAGTTGAATTGAAAAATACTATGTAGTCGTTTTTACAATGCAAATATTTGTAATCAAAAGTAATATAAAGTGAGCACTGTACACTTTGTATTCTGTTGTAATTGAAATCAATATATTTGAAAATGTAGAAAAACAAATAAATGGCATTCTATTGTTTAACAGTGTGATTAAAACTGCGATTAATTTCTTTAAATCGCAATTAATTTTTTTGACTTAATCGCATGAGTTAACTGTGATTAAATCGACAGCCCTCGTGTTTACTGGTTAGCTGTACTAAAGTAGTGTCTAGGAGCTCCTGTCGCAGACCAGCACCCCGCTGTGCTAAGTGACGTACAAACACGAAACAGACAATTTTCACCGTCGCAGAATTTACTATCAAAGGCAAGAGACAACAGATGATACAGGCCGACTGACAGATGAGCACAAGGAAACAACGAGGAAAAAAATATATATATTGGTCACCATGATATGTTCAGGTATGGCCCTTGTGGAGTGGATAAAGCAGATTGGAGTGAATTATCAGCTTTGATTTACAACACAGAATTTAAATCCCGTCTATTCTCCACAGGTTCTTATCCCACTCTTCTCCACCTTCCAGTCGCACATCATACAACACGAATGACACCTGTGACTCATTCTCTCTCTCACCCAATGTGGGGTGGAAGGGACCCTGTCCCCCAGGACATCCAGTCGAATTCCCGCTAGCCCAGCCCACCCCCTCATATCATCCTGTTCACAGCCCTTACCGAGCTCCATCGCGAAGCTAGTTCTGGTGTTGTCCCCACTGCGCTGACTGGGAGGCTGATCCAGAACCTCCCTCCTCTGATGGTTAGGGACCTGCTTCTATTGAGTCGCGTGCAGTTTGTCCTCGCTGGCGCGTGCAGTGGTGCGATCTGTTTGGGTAGGGTGGTGTGGTAGACGTACATGCTGCTCTGTGTTTACACCGAAGGATCAGGTTGGAGCTTTGTAAAACTGACAAGCAGCCGCCCTATTACCCCTGGCGAAGAACCTTCACACCAGGATGGCCAAACTTACTGATCCTCCAAGCCATGTACAATAATATTCAGAAGCTCGAGAGCCGCACAACTTTACACGTGCATTTTTTTAAACATTAACACCCTACTTACTGTATCGTGGCTAATTACTGCCAGAGCTAGAGGCCTTTTGGGTCTCCATCCTGGCTGTAAGTCTTTGGAAATCCGGTTGTCAAGGCGGTACAGAGGAGCTCGGTCAGATGTTGATTTGTAAGGACTGCAGGAGGTTTTGATTTTACCAACTTCATCAGGGAGTACAGCGATTCACAGCAGTATGTTGTGCCGGAAATTGAATGAGTCGCACACTGGTCTTCTTGAGTTGAGGATACTTCGTTCCTGGCACTTGCTTCCAGAACTCGATTGCAGACTGTGATTTATGCAACATCTTTAGAGCCTGGTCCTCCTGGAGTTCCATTTCTATAGTAAGGGTTTCCGTAACCATGGTTTTGGGAATTGGACAGCCATTGTTGATCACATCAACCATGAATGGTTACAAGAAAGGCGAAGCAGGATCTTAACTTCTGCAAGTCTTCAAACCTGGCCAGAAAGTCATCAAGCAGTCCTTGAAATTTACCTCTGTATTCCTCGAGTTTGTGATCTTCTACTTTGATTTCGGGGAATATGTTTACCCTACTCTTGAGGTGGGGAAAGTGGTTGAAGTCTCTTGACACTATGTCTCTTTGCAGAAGCTTTAACTTGTTCTGGAAGATGAAGACTGTCTGAGTAAGCTCAGAAATAATCTTATCCTTCCACGGAAACGTAGCAAACAAATATCGCTAGTTGGGGTTTATCTTGTATATCTGTGGATTTGTCAAGAGCTAGGCTGAATGCTAGAGAATTCTTTAGATCGTTTTGCTTCTTGCTTGCAACATTCAGCACTGATCTGGGAAGATACGCATCTCCATAGTGTGGCACGAAATTGGAATTTGTTTTATTAGTCGTTGAAGTTGTGTGTTATTTGGATCTAAAATTGCAACCACTTCCACAATATTCTTCATCAGAATATGGATGTTTAGCACGAGCGATATTCCATGACACAATAAAACTAGCTTCAGTCGGTGTGTCAGCTTCCTTACTGAATGCTGAAAGCAGCGTCTGTTGACTGTTTAGGCGTAATTTTAATGCGGTTAGCTTGTTTTTCCTTAATTCTGATTCAGGAGGGTATTTAGATGAAAGTTATTGTGATTTGTTTCATAGTGATGTTTCAAGGTGCTCGCTTCATAGTGAGTGAGCGATGCACTGCAGATAAGGCACAGAGGTTTGCCACCTTTAACAGTAAATGCAAACTCTTCTTCCCATTCTGGCTTAAAACTTCGGTTTTCTTCTTCATACTTGCATTTCTTACAATTTGAAGATATCATTGTCATTCATGAAATTAACGTAGGGTTAACACAAACCTAAAAACTATTCAAATGCAACTTATGAACCATAAACACAGCCTGTATTCTGCAGAATGCAGAGAGATCGCGAGCACACCAGGTCTGTACAAAACAAAGCATAAATACAGAAAGACCAAATTTCTCTGCAAGCCCTGCACTTTAACTATAAGAACTGCACTGTGGCTCACGAACTGCAGTTTGGCCAGACCTGCTCTATAACTAGGTCTCTACCAAATTCATGGTTCATTGTGGTCAATTTCACAGCCATAGGATTTTAAAAATAGTAAATATCATGATTTCAACAATTTAAATCTGAAATTTCACAGTGTTATAATTGTAGGAATCCTGACCCAAAAAGGAGTTGGGGGGGGTGTCACAAGGATATTGTGTGTGTGTGTGTGGGGGGGGGGGTGCGGTACTGCTACCCTTACTTCTGCGCCGCTGCTGGTGGCTCTGCCTTCAGAGCTGGGTGCCCGGCCAACGGATGCCGCTCTCCGGCCACCCAGCTCTGAAGGTAGTGTAGAAGTGGCAATACCGCAACCCCCCTGCAACTTCCTTTTGGGTGAGGACCCCCGATTTGAGATAAGCCGGTCTCCCCTGTGAAATTTGTATAGTATAGGGTAAAGGGACACACAAGACCAGATTTCATGGTCAGTGATGCGTTTTTCATGGCCATGAATTTGGTGGGGGCCTATCGGTAACAAACTGAGCTATAAACACTGCTACTGCTGCTGGGGGCTGTTTGTTTTTCACACCCCACCTCACCTTTTTCAGTTTCTGCTGCTGGATCACCCGAGCTTTCTTGGGAGCAATTATCCGGCCTGGAAGAGAGACATGGGAGAAGGGAGAGAAGCATTTGGACCCAGGGGAGCAGAACTCAATGCCAGCAGCTGAACGGCCCCAGGGTGGGGATCCCCAGCCGGTGGGCCAGAGAGCTCCTGTGAGGGGCCTGGGGGAGAAGAGTAGGGGGGTAACAGCCTCTCCCTGGGGACTGCAGGCAGATGGGGCTGCTGGGGCCCTCTGAAGTGTGGAGGGCTAACAGATCACTTACCTCCCCCCCCGCCGTGCGCGGGAGCCGGGACCCCGCTAAACCTCCCCACCCCCACCCCCGCCGTGCCCGGGAGCCGGGACCCCGCTAAACCTCCCCCCCCCCCCCCCCCCCGGGGCCCCCGGACCCCCCCCGCCCCCCCCCCCCCCCTCCTCCCCCCCGCCCGGCTTCTGGGCCTGGAACTTCTGCTTCCCCTGAGCCATGAGGCGGCCTCCACATCCGGCCGAGCCCCAGTGCACGCCGGGATACAGAGGGGCGGGAGAAACGTCACTTCCGCTGCATGCCGGGATACAGAGGGGCACGCCACGCGCCCAGTGCATGCCGGGATACAGAGGGGCGGGTGCAAAGCACGCTCCCCGGGCAACAGAGAGGACACTAACCCCAGTGCATGCCGGGATACAGAACACCCTGGGGGGCAGTGAGATCACCCCACCCAATTCCAGATACCCTTATTCCCCCCCTGCAAAGCTCTGAGGGCACCCGGGGCCTCCTGGGGAAGCTCCCTCTGCCCCCCGTTTGCTCTGGTATCAGTGAGTCAGGAGGAGCCGCTGGGGCAGGTTCTGCCAGGCCCTGCTGCCATTCAGAACATCCAGTGAGCACAAAGCCCAGCCCCGGGAGCAAAGGGAGAATCTCCTGGGGCAGTAGAGGGGCTATGATACACAGGGAGGGAGGGGGTAGTCAGACTCCATCCAGTAGAGGACACCCAGCTCATTAAAGCCCTGCTAATTTAGACAGCTACAGGCATCAGCCCACGCGGACAAGTGGTGGTGGTCGTCAAAGGCGATGGGGATTTATTAACACCATGTAAAACAGAGCCAGGCAGGGGGTGTATTACCCCCACCCACAGTCTTGCTCTCTGCGGAGGGAAAGCCGGGTCTCTCTCCACCCCCTCGCCGCCCGAGTCAGGGCAGTTATTGGCCCGAGGGGTTCACTCTCCTTTCTCTGCCCGGGTGAGGGCCTCTCGGAGCTCTTCAGGGCGGAAGACACCAAGCTCCGTGATGATGCCCCCAGTGATGAGCTCGTGCGGCGTGACGTCGAAGGCCGGGTTCCAAACACCAATCCCTTGGCAGGAGAAAAACAGACACTGTGAGCCACTCAGCAATGTGACATAAATATCCAACCAAGAATTCCCCCTTTGGCTCAATATCGCTGTCTCCTCTTGCACCAAGACAGCCCGCTGGTCCACAATACTGTTCAGGGACGCACCCCCACTGCAGTACCTGGCGCTGCGATCCTCACTCCATTGACGTCCGTCAGCTCCTGGCTCGGCCGCTCCTCAATCACGATTTCAGCCCCTTCTGCCAAGCTCAGGTCACATGAGGTGCTAGGGGCCGCCACGTAGAAGGGGATCCCATGATGCTTTGCAGCGATGGCCACCTGGTAGGTGCCCACTTTGTTGGCGGTGTCGCCGTTGGCCACCACCCGGTCGGCTCCCACAATGACAGCTGGGAGAGAGAATGCAACATTTAAAGTCCTGGAGGGGCGATTCCCGTGCCACATGACCACCAAGGAGTCAGCATTGAGATGGCCACCTTAGTATTAGTGAGATCCTATCACGGTCCCCTCCTCCCACCCCCTCCCTGCTGCTGGTCAGCCTTGTGGCTGGCAGACCCCAATCCTCCCGCACCACCCAGGGACTGCACAGGGCCCCAACGAAGCAGCTCTATGGAGCACCCAGCATGATTCTCCGAGAGGCAGTGATGTCCAGGGGAAAGGGCACCATGCTGGAAGAACACTGGGATTCGATTCCTGAAGCCATCACCCCTCTCTATGCCTCAGCGTGTCCACCCCCCTCATAGACGGGGGACAATGCTACTAATACACCGGACGTGTGTAAAGTGCTGTGAGCTCCGGGGATGAAGTGCCCTACGTTGAGAAATAGGTGTTACTGTGTCAGCCATGGGCAAGGCAGAGCTGGTGCTGGCTCCTGTTGGTGTCATGATGCTGGATGAGAGGGATCTACTGATGTACTGACTCCTGTGAGCGTGCACCCCAAAGACTCAACCAAGATGGGTCCCCATCGCACTGGGCACGGCACAGACGTCTCCCCTCTGACCGAGACCGGGGCACCATTGTGCGTGATGCTGCACAGGCCCTGGCCGAGATCGGGGCTTCATCCTGCCGCTTTGCAGGTGCCCGCCCTTGACTGAGATCAGGGCTCTATCATGCCAGACTCCAGGATGGCCCCTGCCTTGAAGAGCTCACTCGCTGAACTCCACATCTCCTTCTAACAAGGCCAGCTGGTGCCTGTGGCGGTGGGGTTCACTCACCCGACACGCCCTTCTCCTTCATGGCCACAGAGACCATGCTATCCGCAATGAGCGTGGCCGGGATGTGCTCGTATACCAGCTCGTAGGCCGTCAGCCGCGCCCCCTGGTTGTACGGCCGCGTCTCCGTGCAGTAGACGTGCTCCAGACAACCCAGGGCGTGCAAAGAGCGGATGACACCTGCAAGGCAAGAGAGGGATTGTGAACGGTGAGGGCAAGAGGTTAGTGAGTTGGAGAGCGTGGGTTAGTGGTCACAGCAGGGTAGCAGGACCCCTGGGGTGAATTCCCCTGACCTGGGAGGGGAATGGGGTCTAGTTCTCAAAACAAAGGTTGGGAGTCAGGACTCCTGGGTTCTACTCCCTGGGTCTAAGTAGGGGGGTGGAGGGTGGACTAGTGGTTAAAGCAGAGGGAACTGGAAGTCAGGACTCCTGGGTTCTCTGGCTCTGGGTGGGGTCTAGTGATAAGACCCGACTCTACTTTGCAGTCCTGGCGGAACCCCCCCTCTTCCTCCAACCCAATCTTTACAGGCAATGTGGCTCCCCCTGGTGTGGGCAGATTGCCCCCCCTCCAGCCCCACATACCCAGTGCGGTGCCATAGCCGGCGGTGGCCAGGGAGCCGGTGTTGCAGTGGGTCAGCACCGTCACCTTGTCCTGCGGTGACGCCTGGAGCAGGTGGCGCGCCCCGTGCTCCCCGATGCTCCTGTTGTCCCGCAGATCCTTCTCTAGCATGGCCTCTGCCCACTGGATGACGCTGGGGGGTGGGGGGAAGGTTAGGGCACGGCTCCCTCGACCCCGGGGAAGGGAAGGGGCAGTGGGCCTGGCTCTCACCTCTCCCGCAGGCTCTCGGCTGTGGCCTCCTCACGCTGGGCCTCCTGGGAAGCGAAAGCCCCCAGCTCCTCGGCCGCCCGCGCCATGTTCACCGCCGTGGGGCGCGCAGTCACCAGGTAGCGGAGGGAGTCATGGATGAAGGTCTCCAGGCCGGCCTTGCCCTGCCCCATGCCGGCCCCACCGTGCAGCTCCACCGCCAGGCTCAGGCACCCCACGATGGCAATGGCAGGGGCGCCCCGCACCTGGGAGACAGGGGGCACTGTCAGGGTGGAGTGGGATCCAAGGACGATGTGGGAAGCTTTAGGGGGTGGGGGTGGAGAGATCCTGCAGGGGAGGAGTTGCCACCCCAGGTCAGAGCAATAGCCCAGCTAGGCCTGTCCCCAGACCCGGTCCCCACCCCATGTCTCCATGCCCATATCCAGCCCTGTGCCCCCCTCCCCACACCCCTCCGTGCCCAGCCCTGCACCCACCCACCGCTCCACGCCGTGTCCCACGCCCTCATATCCAGCCCTGACCCTGCACCCCCCTGCTCCGCCCCTATCCAGCCCTGCTCCGCGCCCAGCCCCAGCCCCGTACCCACTTCTCCCTTCCGTGCCCTGCCGCTGCTCTGAGCTCCCCTTTCTGCCCACGGGCGCCGCCTGCCAGCGCCCCGGGGTGCCGCCCGCCCCACCTGCATGGCCCGGATGGCCTCCCAGCCCTGGCGCACGCTGCCGATCTCCTCGTAGCGGCTCCGCTGGGGCAGCAGCAGCTGGTTGAGGACGCGCAGCGAGCCGCGGCGGTAGCGCAGCGCCTCCAGGCTCATGGCCCCGCGGGCGGCGCAGCTCGGCCGGGAGGGACTCGGGCTTCGGGGGCGGGACGGAGCTGGGCCACGGGGCTCCGCAAAGGGGCTGGCTGGGTCCTAAAGCGAGACCCGCGCTGCGCGGCGGCCCTAGCGCCGCCGAGTCCCGGGCTGGGCTCTGCCTCTGTGAAACCGGGATTATAACCCGGCAGGACCAGCGTAAGACCCCACGCGTCTGGCTGGGCCCTGCCCGAACCACTAGACCCCCCCTGCCCTCCCAGAGTTAGGGGGAGAACCCAGGAGTCCTGGCTCCCAGCCCCCCCCCGTGCTAACCACTAGACCCCACTGCCCTCCCAGAGCTAGGGAGAGAACCCAGGCGTCCTCCCCCCCCCCCCCCCCCCCCGCGCTAACCACTAGACCCCACTGCCCTCCCAGAGCTAGGGAGAACACCCAGGTGTCCTGGCTTCCAACTAGGGTGACCAGACAGCAAATGTGAAAAATCGGGACGGGGTGAGGGGTAATAGGAGCCTATATAAGAAAAAGACCCCAAAATCAGGACTGTCCCTATAAAATCAGGACATCTGGTCACCCTACTCCCAACCCCTTGCTCTAACCACTAGATACCACTCTCCTCCCAGAGCTAGGGATAGAACCCAGGCATCCTAGCACACCCACAGTAACCACTAGAGCCGCCTGCCCTTCCAGAGCTAGGGTTGCCAACACTCCAGGATTGTCCTGTAATTTCCAGGAACTAAAAATTAATCTTTAATTAAAGATTAGTTCATATGATGAAACCTCCAGGAATACATCCAACCCAAACTGACAACCCTAGATAGAAGCCAAGAGCTGACCTCTCCCCCACTGCTCTCCCCGAGCTGGGGAGAGAACCCAGGGGTCCTGACTCCCGACCCCAATCCACTGACCATGCTGTCTCTAGAACCTAGTGGACATAAGACTGGCCACACTGGGTCAGACCAATGGTCCATCTAGCTCAGGATCCCCCGACAGTGGCTGGAGCCAGATGCTTCAGATGGAACGAACAGAACAGGGTAATTATTGAGTGAGCCAGCCTGTCATCCAGTCCCAGCTTCTGACAATCAGAACACCCAGAGCATGGGGCTGTGTCCCTGCCCACCTTGGCCAATAGCCACTGAGGGACCTACCCTCCATGAACTTATCTAGTTCTTTTTTGATCCCAGTTATACTTTTGGCCTTCACATCTCACATGGCAAGGAGTTCCACAGGTTGACTGTGCATTGTGTGACAAAAGCACAGCCTTAGGTTTGTTTTAAACTTTTTGCCTATGGATTTCACTGGGTGACCCCGCCCCTCCCCGGTCTTGAGTTAGGTGAAGAGGTAAATAATACTTCCTTAGTCACGTTCTCCACCTCAGTCATGATTCTGCAGACCTTTTCTATCAACATCCCCCCCCCCCCCCCATCCCCGCTGTTATAAAAGGTGCCTTCTAAAGTGTATTCCCTTTCCCAGATAGGAATAATTACACTGCACTTTATACTGGAATAACACTGTCAACTCCGGGGGAGGGGGCGGTGTACCAGTTTTAACTAGCCCGTGTAGTTAAAAGTTGGTACAATCTGTGTGTGTTTGGACAAGGCCTTAGTCTCATTGAACATCAACAGGGCGAGTTCTACCGTTTTAATGATCTCAGTAGAGAAATGGCAGTCCTGGCAGACAGTCCCACCAGCACCCGATCTGAACCTAAACCAGACCTGAGGGGCTAGGTCAGTTCTGAAAACGGGACGTAGGTTCTCCCGTGTTTGAAAATGTCACCTGTAGACAAGTCCCTTGGCAGCCCTGCATTTAGCAGGTTTAATATAGCAGAGCTCGCGAGGGTTTCCATTTCAGTTATTCCCTTCCCCGCGAAGACCCACCTAACTGGTTTCCTCTCCTGCCGTTCTTCAGTCTTGTTGCTATGAAGCAGGAGAGACACGAAGGTTCATCACAACCAGCCGGGTGTGTGCTGTCAGCGAACCATACGGTTAATCAGCTGGGGCCAGCGTTTAATGGAGGCTTATTTTAGTCTGTCCTTTCCTTTACAATGTACAGAGGACTAATGGAGCAGATACAGGGGATGAGGGGAGGGGCAGATGTGAATCCACACTAGAGGAGGCTGCCTGCGATCCTAGGGGGAGGAATCTCATATACACGGGGTACAGGCTCTGCCTTTCCAGAGTTACACCAGGAAGGGTATCAACCGCGCTGATACGGGGTGTTTGAAGGTCTGTCTCGCTGGGAGCTCTGTGGAGAAGGCAGGATCACCGCTGTGGCTTGGAGGAGCAGGAGTTCTTGCTGGGTCTATGGCTTAGAGTCATTGAAACAATGCGGGCCCCCTAAGTCCAGCCCTACGGGTGTGTGTGTGTGTGTCAGTCCACTTCAGAATCAGAGCTGGAGTTCGAATAGTCTGCCACGAGAGAGGAGCTGAGGCTGGCGGAGCAGGAGGTGCTGGCAGTGTCCTCCGCAGGGAGGACGTCGCCGTTGGCCATGGGGGAGCTCTGCTGGGGCGTCCCATGGGCTGTGCTGTCGCGGCTCTGCCCGCCAGTTCGTGCCCCGTGCTCCAGGCTCTCAGGCCCCTCCCTGGATTTGCGGCGCACAATGCCCAAGTGGCCGACTGTGATGTGTGAGCCGCCAGTGAGCGCCTTCGGGGGCACGGCTTTCCCGGCGAGCCCCAGCTTCTTAAGCGTGTCGGTGGCTTTGCCAGCTGGAGCCTGAGCAGGGGGGAACCAGGAGCGGCCAGAGATCTCTGTTCGCTTCAGCTTCTGTTTGTCCTCATAAGCTGGAAGGAGAGGGAGGGGCAGCAGGGTAGGGAGGAGCAGCCACAGAGGGCACCTGAAAGCTTCAATGTCATTGGGAGCATTGGCTCAGGGCTCCTGCCCTGGGACCAGCACACACTGATCTACGGGGCTCATAGACCCCCAGACCTGAATGCCACTCCCCCCCGAGCCCACCCCCAATCACACATCAGTAAGCAGCAAAGCCAGGACTAGAACCCAGGAGTCCTGGCTCCCACTCCCTCCCCCAACGCTGGGAATAGAACCCAGGAGTCCTGCTCTAACCACTAGACCCTACCCCTCCAAAGCCGGAACTAGAACCCAGGAGTCCTGGCTCCCCCGATTTGTTCATCCCCAATGTAAATCACATCCAACTGACTACCGTTGGTACGGTCAGTGGTGACCGTAACCCTACGCTGCCCACATTCCTCAGGCCAAGACAGGGCCCTGAATCCCTCTGTGCACAGGGCCCCCCAGAAGACCCGAGGCAGCCCCCACCCACAGCCCCAGAAGGCAGCACGTACAGTCCAGGCTGTGGTACTTGAGCAGAGCTGCCAGGCGCCGGTCCTCCTCCGTCTCCTGCACCAGAGGGATGCTCAGGTTGGCCTTAGTCTGCAGAGCCAGGTCCTTCTCCTCTTCCTCCTGGAGAATCTTCTTCTCCTCCTAAACAGGGGAGGGACAGGACGGTGAGAGAAAGGGCCCAGCCAGCAGCATCTACAGTAAGCCATTGAAACTCAGCCCTGGTGTAAGGAGAGGGGGTAAATCCCATTGGCTTCAGCAGAGCTGTGCCTGCTTACGCCAGGGTTAGACTTGGCCCCTGATCTAGTGCCCACGAGACGGATGCTGCAAGGACTGTCCAGGACAGAGAATCATGGAGACACATCACTGAACTGCCACAATGTCTAGTGCAAAGGACAGTCTCAGCAAGTCCTTCCTCCAGCCCAGCCCCACCCCCCGGCTCTCCCCTCCAGCACCTTCCATCCACAGATCGTCAAGCACTGTATAAAGGAGGTCAATATCATTATCCCCATTTTACAGATGAGGAAACTGAGGAACGGGGAGGGGACCTGTCCAAGATCACCCAGCAGAGCCCAGGTCTCCCAAGTCCCAGTCCTGTGCTCCATCCATGAGGTCACGCTGCCTCCCAAAAGGCCAGGAGGGTCCCAGCTAGGAGCAGTGCGCAATCCACATGGCTCTCAGTCCCTGCTCACCCTGAACTTCCTGCGCAGCATGCTGTTGATGGCGAAGTCGTCCTTCCAGGCACTCTGGGCCTCCTGGATGTTGGACAAGGTGGGGATGGCTCTCTGCAGCTTGCTCTGGTCCACGGTGCCATGCTCTAGCCGGTACATGGCATCGGTCTCCAGCTTCTTCTTCGCCTCGTGTTCTGGAGGCAGAGGGACAGACACACGGACTCACCGGTGGGGTCTGTCCTCCCAGCCGCTGGAAGGAGCAGGGCCTGCTGCTCCCTGGGCTCACCTGTGGTCAGGATCTGCTCGTTGTCCTGCATATCCCAGCGTTCCTCCTTGCGCTGGGCCCCGCTCACGATGACGTAGTCACAGTTCGCCGGGTCCGTCTGCATCTCGATGTAATTAACGCACAGGTGGCACTTCATCCGAAACCTGGCACCCAAGGGGACAGGCTGGGGTCACGGCTGGGGGGTTATCTCCTGGCCACCTCCTTGAAGCCCCAGCCAGACTCCAGCTTTCCGGCCTTTGTGCCTGTCCCCTGCTAGGGGGATCTTGCACCGGCTCCTGAAGTCTTTGGCACGTGGTCCCACCAGAGACAGACACCTACTTCGCCTCTCAGTATTATCCACCCGGTAGATGTGTGTGTGTAGGGGGGGAAATCGAGCATGGGGGGGGAGAGAGAGCAAGGACTCATCCAATTGTGTGGCAAAGCCGGGAATCGTCTCCCCTCACTCTAACCACTAGACCCCACTTCCCTCCCAGGGCTGGGAAGAGATCCCAGGAGTCCTGGCTCCCAGCCCTGTGGTCTAACCACAGGCGCATCCCCAGGGGAGCAGGTGGCAGCGATGGCACACAGAGCCCAGAGGACGTTGCTTTAAATCCAGCTCAGCTCAGCAGCAGCTTTATCATCTCTGTCATGCCACGTTCGTCGTTGGGGTGCTGCTGGCTCTTCCGGGGGCTGTTCCCTCCCCTTCTGGGCAAGAGGCAGGCGGGGGCTCTGGGGCCCATTCTAACCCTGACTGCTTTGCCTGGGGAGGCCGTTTGGGGCCAGTGACAATGGTGGGATTCTGCGATGTGGCCCCCCCCAGGTCA